TAAATCAAAATACATATCTGATATGACTTAATATATAATTAGCATCAAACAAACAATATAATTAATATTTTCAAGTATTAAAGATTAAACGGAAAACAAAATAAAAATTATTGCACAACCATCAATTAGTTATTCGATATGCACTAAGAATGTAAACGACCACTGAACAAAAGAAGAAGAAAGAAACAGCACGGCGCGCTTTTTCTTAGCGGCCGTTTCCATAGTGACTCGTTGATTCGTCGCTCTGTTGAGATTGTCTTGAATCTTAACCAGGAACATACTCGGAGTTGAATGAACTTACTCCCGGACACGTTTTTGGAACCACATACCTCGAGTAAGCAAGGATTGGGGTTAATCAACCGAAAGTTCAGGGTTTAGCTGACGGTAAGTTAACCGTGCTTTCTGGTATACACCCCAAAACTAAATAGACATAAATATTTATGTTTCTACTATTAAACTTGCACACATATAGTATTCATCAGACCAAGTTAAAACATACATGATGTCCCATACAGCCTTCACAGAGCATAACTTCTGTACAAATGTTTACTTTGACTTGACAGGCCAATAAAGATTATTTTGTAGGGCTTTACAGCCCAACATTTACAGGTTTTGAACTCAATTTTAGTCTCCAGTGGCAAGGCTTTCTCATTCGTCCGGTCGCATCGAGCTTGATTGACAGGCGATCTGACCAAGGAAAGTTGTTCACTTTCAGGCGAGTCACCAGCTGTGTCCAAACAGCTCATGAAATTATGCCACAAAGCTGTAGGGAGATTGAATGAGAGGTCCAGCTTGTTGCCATATTGTTTTTGCCCATTGCAGCGCTCGTCCTGTGAGCAGAGACAGAATATAGGAGATTTTCACTCTTTCAGTGGGACAACAACGGGACTGCGAGCCAAGAACACCATTAACGGTGTCAAAGCTAACATGAAGCCTTATACGGATGGTAATGGACTAACGAAATCCAAATTTTGTTTGTACCACACCAAAGTTTTTATGGACCCTTGAACTTTGCACATGATATAATTACAGTTAAATCAGCAAAGTAATTTCACGGCCACATGATGGATGCATTAAACTCTAGTATTACGCCCTCATTAGCTTTGGTGTTCGAGAAAGGAATGGGAGCATTTTCTGTTGTGGCTGGATTCCACAGTGTTGTTACTTTATATTTGCTTTTTAATGTCCATTGTGTTGTGCACTACTGGGTCACAGTACTGAGACCTTCTAGGGAAGAAGGTTAAGAAGTTAAGAAGTTGTTCAGTGATGTATAACAGTAAGAATATGAAGGGAAAGAGATGTTCTACATGACATGATATAATGATTGATTTTTTTTTTCTTCGAATTTCTAAAGTTTTCCAATTTGTCAATTACTTAGGGAGGATTTATTGAACACCCTTAAAAATATGGCTCCAAAAACTGCTCAACAGAAGAACCATTTTGGTCGCCCAAAGAACCTTTCAGTGAATAGTTCTTAAAGAACAAATTTTTTTCATACTATGAACATTTTTTTAAAGTAATTAACCTTTTACTCCCTTCTGTGGAACAGAAAAGTTAACCCAAACTGGCTAAAGTGTTCAGTCATGTTTTTGTATTTGCATATCCAAATGTGTGTCCAATCAAATGCTCTCAAAAATGAAAATGTCCCTTCAACCCTTCAAAATGTCCAGAAACAACTTCCTGCATTAAAAGGAAAAAGCATCTTTGGATCATGTGGACAGGGTTCTGCCAGTATATGAAGGAAACTTCAACATGCACACATTGGCTAAAATAAAATAGGACTTGATCGTGTTTTCAATATATCCACTGGCGAGGCTGAATAACAGCTCACCCCTGTGACCCTCCACACCCTGAATATCCTCGCCTCGATTCCGGCTGTTCATTCAGTGTATGGT